GATAGAACTGGCTTCAGGACTACGGGGTAACTAGGGTTTTAAGTCTTAATAAAAGAAACAAAAATAAAACTGGACAAAACTAAACCGTCGGTCCATGAAAGCTTGGGTGACAGCTAGAGTTGGACAAGTCATTGCAAGAGCGGCCGAGAATACCTTACTTAATGCTACAACATTGTACCTTTTGCGGTTGAAACCCTGGGTCCCTGGGGCTCACAGGCGAAACTTTTAGCAAACGAGCTGTCAGTTTGTCTCGTAGAAGCCTCTGGTGACCACAAGGCTAGCAGTTATTGCTGCCAAAGAATAAGGTTAGCTTTCCGTTTTTTTTTTAATTTATTAAGGTTTTGGCAAAGCCGTCAGCCTAAACATGAAGTTTAATTATGTTTCTGTAAATATGGCCGCCACAAAGAGGATAGGCAATTTGAGGCGGCGTGCTTGGATTGACTCGGGATTCCTTAAAACGGGCCTATACTTGTATTTTTCGATTCGATTTCTTCGACTTCGACTTCAGGACTTCGATTAAGGCACAATAGCACTATCCTATTCCGCTTTAAACTAGATTTCACAAAATAATTGAAAGTCAAAATAAAAACGACACTTTTCCCTCCAAAAGGTCCAGAGCGAATCTTAGCTTTCCGTTAAAGAGGAAATGTTGCCAGCCTTCTGGGCACGATGCCCCAGGGTACGGCACTCGAGGACATTTTCTACTTATAAACTTTCAAATATTATATTTATGTTAAGTTTATATTATTTATCGAAATTGTCTTAAAGTGTCCATGTGTTAGTAATAAAATCTATGATTGTGCCGTCTAGTGAAAATAGTTTGTTAGGCGTTAGGTTGTACACTCATTATCATGACCAGACGTGAGCTATTGCCTCGATAAAAATAATATTCATTCATGCATTGTCTATTACCTACCTGTAAACAATTGAAACCACGTGAGCTTTTTAATTGATGGACATAGGACCGATGTGCTTTTGCAATATATTATATCATACCTACGGGCTGGACAAAGCTCAAGTCTTATGTAACGAAGCACGTAACCACGTTCACGATATGCATTTCAACTTCGCCTGCCTGTTGATCACAACTATGTAGGTATATAGCCTAAATATGATGCTATATCTACAAGCATTTCTCGTGATACTGAATACTTGTATAATATACATTATATAAACGCGTTCATCCAGATTTTACCTTCTATATAATACGGGGCGATCTGCATTGTTACAATTAAAGAAAACCACCGACACAAGTGCAACAAAGTAGTGAACCGCACTTCAAAAAATGGAGGATGAAGGATGGAGGAGGAAGGAAGGAAGGAATGAAGGACACCTACACCCGCCCATTGAACTGCAGACATAAAAACAGATTAGCACTACCAAGGTCGAAATCACAAATGTACCATCTGGGACCTTATGTAATGGCTGTTAAAATTTACAACAGAATTCGTAACGATATATCATCCCAGAACCAATACAATTTATTCACCAAACAACTAAAGGCTCATTTGATAGAAGAATGTTACTACAGCCTGAAGCTGTTTTTTGAAAAATGTCTACCTATCTACGCCTTTTTGTATTCTGCATCAAAAGTATTAGGTTACGTTATTATTATCACTATTATTATTTTAATTTATTAGCTTTTGTTTAAAATTACTTCATTATTTTGTTTTTTATTTTTGACATTTTATTTAATGTATATTATTTGTTAATGGCGGCGCCCTAACAGGGTCATGTTGATTTTATTTTATTTTTAAAAGCATTATGTAACACATGAAAGCAATAAATACTTTGACTTATCTACTAACAGATAATTTATTTTGTTACGTTCTACTTAAGCTCGTAGAACTGCTGGCCGTAAGGTTTTCGAATGGAGACCACGAACCGGAAGGCGTTCAGTGGGACGGTCCCCTACTAAATGGACAGATGACCTGGTAAGGGCCGCGGGTTACCGATGGTTGCAAGCCGTCGAGACCGGCTAGTCTGGTAATCTTTGCGGGAGGTCTATGTTCAGCAGCGGACATGATGATGATGATACTTAAGAATCGCCATTGGTTGTCGGAAATAAATTAAATAAAAACACAATCAAAATGATCAACAGAAATCAAGTAATAATTTGTGACATGAACCTAATTAACGGCCATGGAGGATTTTTTAAATAAATAACGCACACACTCAACATAGCCCCGCACTAGGGAAACCCTGTGTCGCGGGTGCCATGGACACACACATAGACAACCACAAATTACACCCAAACTCACAAGAGAAATAATTGTAGGCCATACTACTATTTCTCCCGGCCCGGGAATCGAACCTGGGACCTCTGCGTGGCAGTCCGGCATGGTAACCGTTTGGCCACGAAGGCAGTTATATAGTTATATAGTGATTGGACACTAGCAGAGAAATCGTAAAGACTACATTTCCCAAGCCTTCGCGTTCATATCATGATTCACTGCCCTTAGAGCGATGCCATACGATACGCTGTACCGGCGACGGCGTTGTAACACTTGAGGTGCTACATATACATTGGAACTACGTGCCATAAAACACGCGCAGCGACAGAACGCATGCAGATTGGTCAAGGGACCAGCCAATTTTGCCAATTTACTTGATATCTTGGGTCATTGCAATTCCATTGTTACATCTACGGTAATATTTGATATTCTGCTAAAATCTAGTTGCAATGGCAGTTGAGGCTCAATATAGTGTGAGTTGAATGATCGATGTGGCTTTATTAAAACTACCAAGGAAATTATTATGCATATCTCAATTTTTATCACGTTCAATCAGTAATTTAGTCTGCATATTAAATATACACTACTACCATCGACATGACTTCGATTCGCCATAATATTGCAAAGGCAGTTGAATAGTTGTTCGGTGGCTAGCCACTGACAAGGCACTCTTAACTTTTAGCGGAATATCAAACATACAAAATCCTGCTATTGACACTATCCACATACAACTGATAATTTAAAACTGCTAATTTTAAGCTTAGCCTTGGAGCCCATGAGACGAAGTGGGGAAGTTTGCTATGGAGCGTAAGATAGCGGTGTTGCGTTGAACACCGCAAGTACGTGTGGCACTCGGTGCGTTAAAATCATAGCGTTACAACGACGACACAACGCACCGGCAGCATCCGTGTGGCATCACTCTTAGTTGAATAAAGGTGGCATACCTTTATCGATAAAATAACATATAGATACTTAAGTGTTGTCACTTTTCGAAAAAGTAAATTCAATTTTTAATTTCAGTTTGCACTACGTACGAACGTTGCTCTCAGTGAAAAGAACCTAGAACCATACTAAGGTCATTCTATACTATCCCACTTCCTGGTTACCTTTTAATAAGTATCTGCGATGAAAAAGAAAGTAAATAAGTATGTTGAACAACATAAAGTAGGGTAATTTTATGTTAATGTTGTTTTGTTAATGTGGTTTGTAGAACTAAAATATCCACAACAAAGAAAGTGTGTTACATAAATCGAATTGCCCTATAAAAGCTCAATCTAACTACTAACTATATGACGTAAAGTGGCGGCTTCCACGTGTTTACGTCATTATATGTGTAGTTTTACATAATAGGGTATAATAGGGCAGTTTGGAACTTATCTACGTAGGTTTCCACGTGGGGGAATGGTGAAAACGCATAATATGCATCTATTAAAATATTACCTAAACTGCTGGCGTTTGTTTCGGCCAATGACTTCGATAACAATCGGAAATGAGAGTATATTTTGATAATTTGATAATAGCTGGGTAATAAAGTTCTTGTGTTCTTCTAAGAAAGAGCCTAATTAAGTGGCATCACGGAGTGTTGCGCCTATTCAGCGCGCTTTTACTCTGCACGTGACCTGTTTTAGTTCCGGCATTTCACGAAGATGCCCTTATAATCAAAGATTACCATTTTTTAAACTTGGATCTCTTCAAGAGCGTCGTGTTGACCATGATCTCTTATTTCTTTACAATATTTAGAACAATAAGATAGACTACGGCAGTATTCTAGGGCAAATTGGTATGTACCCGAAAACGTTGTAAAACTTTTGATGTTCCTTATTGTCATCTTTAAGAATGTATAAAACATACAACGAATGAAAATAAAATTAACTAAAAAGATATTGAAAATAATTAATTAAGTTCCTATTGTATTTCTCAGAGTCTATTGCTATGTAATTTAATTTTTTTAGGTATGTATATGTCAAAAAAAATGTAGTTTTTGATAGTTGTTTTGGTGTTGACACACTTAAAATTGTTATGTTTACAATGTAGAACACCCAAGTCAAATACGATAAAAATGAGTTGTGGACATACGTTCGTGTTGCTAATACATAAATAAGGTCTACTAAAGTTTCTATAAGACTAAGCACGTCAACAAGTCACAAGTTATAATCAATTAAAACAAGAAATAAACACGAAAAGATCACAGCAATATTATTATTGCCCTTTTCTGTGACGCGAAGCTTTTCTTGTGAAAGAGTTCCTCCAGGGAAGTATTACTATATGTGAGCATTACTCCCGATTTTGAAGGGTATGAGTGCTAGTGAAACTGCAGTCACATTATAGGACTTGTTTACTTTGTCTCAGGTGACTCAGATCTTTGTGATTTGAAGCTCTGAGTGGTAATGTAACTAAGTCAATTAATGCGTCAATTAATTAAGTCAATTAATAAGTGTAATTTTTTGGTTAATTGTATTTACCATTGGAATTATACGAGGGAGCGTGACCATGTCATCATTATTATCTATTCCTCGGATATCTCGGTTTCAAAGGTAACAGCGCGTATATCACGACCCGGGATTAGTGAAATTAAGAAACTTATCCTGTGATATATTGGCTTGACTATACACTTTGTTAATGACTATAGTAAAGTGTATGCACTATACATGCTCGCTTTTATTACCTTTTATATTTCTATGATGATATGCACTTTGTGATTTACATTTTTTAAATATTACTAAGAAATGCTTAAAATAAAAAGTCCCAAAAAAACAATTAAATAAGTTTACTTATATAAAATTCAACAATAACTTAAACCTACACGACTATTTACAACAACAGATTTTATACAAACAATTGTTCTATATAAAACTAGGTATCCTAAGCAGTTTTGTTAGAAGACCTGAGAACTTTGACTTAGTTAACTTCGTCTGGGTGACGTTAGTGTTTACTTTCTGTGGTAGGGGCCTCCCCCGTGGCCAGCGACTATGGCATTAGTGTAACTGTCGCCGCCTCCGTGACCACCGCCATGTCCGCCTCCGAATCCACCACCGAAGTCAGATACGCTGAAACTGCTTCCGTGGCCACCACCGTGACCTCCTCCATGGCCGCCCCCAAGACTACTACCGCTATGTCCTCCGCCGAATCCACCGCTGTAGCCATCTCCACCTCCGAAACCACCTCCGAAACCGCCTCCGTGTCCTCCTCCATGTCCACCTCCGCCACCTATGCTGTAGCTGTCACTTCCATGGATTGGTGTGTCGTAGCTGCTGACACTAGAGCTATAGCTATCATGGCCTCCGCCACCTCCGCCATGGCCTCCAATATTGTAGCTATCTCCACCTCCGTGACCTCCTCCAAAACTGCTTAGTCCCGACCCATGGCTGTCGTGTCCACCAGAACTGAAACTGTCATGTCCTCCTCCGCCTCCGCCGCCGCCGTGTCCTCCAATACTGTAGCTATCTCCACCTCCGTGGCCACCCCCAAAACTGCTTAGTCCACCAGAGCTGTAGCTGTCATGTCCGCCTGATGAAAATCCACCGCCTCCGCCGCTGTAGCTGTCGTGTCCACCAGATGAGAATCCACCTCCAATGTCTCCATGGCCTCCGCCGAATCCACCGCCACCACCGCTGTGATGGTCGTCGTGGCCACCTCCGAAACCTCCTCCAAATCCTCCACCGATATCGTGGCCACCTCCGTGGCCACTGTCAAATCCACCTCCATGACCACCTCCTAAATCTCCGTGGCCACCGCCAAAACCACCTCCATGGCCACCGCCAAAACCACCTCCATGGCCACCGCTAAAACCACCTCCATGACCGCCGCCAAAACCTCCTCCATGACCGCCGCCAAAACCACCTCCATGGCCGCCGCCAAAACCACCTCCATGGCCTCCACCGCCACCGCCGTGGTGATCATCATGACCGCCTCCGAAGCCACCTCCAAATCCACCTCCGAAGCCGCCTCCATGACCACCACTGCCGTGGCCGCCACCTAAGTCGTAACTGCCTCCGCCGCCGCCGCCATGACCACCTCCGAAGTCGTGTCCTCCTCCGCCATGACCACC